GAAGAGAAGAAACAGGCTATCACATTACAGGCAGTCCTCAAATTACAACAGTTCATTCAGCGACTGTTCAAAGTTACAACAGCACTGAAAAATGTTACTTATGACCGTTTTTCACAGTTACCATCATTGCTATTAGTAACCAGGATGTTAAATGAATCTTGTTTCCCTACTTATTTTGCTTGTCAGAAAGTTGCAAAAGGCGATTCCAAGACCTTGAGATACTGCAGCGGTCATAAATATGAACCAGTTGCTAAGCATCTGAATTTTGATCACATGATCATGGAGATGCTACAAAGGTTGTAATTGTGAAAAACGGTCATAAGTAACATTTTTCAGTGCTGTTGTAACTTTGAACAGTCGCTGAATGAACTGTTGTAATTTGAGGACTGCCTGTAATGTGATAGCCTGTTTCTTCTCTTCAGAACTAATGTTTCAGAATGAAATATTTTACGAAGACAAGATTAGCTCCAGTGTTTATCCATAGGAGAACTGTTTTCACTATAGCACATAAACTTTAGAATGGGAACTCTCAGGCCTCAAAGTTGAGTCTATCACAATGAATAATTGCTTCCTGGTAGTAAAGGAACCAGCTCATGATCTCTTGTTTTCCTTTTGACTTCAGTGAAGGCACTGGAGAGATTGTAAACAACACGGCGTCGCTGGATATAAATGCCTCCAGCAATTCTTGTACTGCTCAGTTCAAAAATTTGGTAAGTGGATTGAGAAGAAGTGAGTAGGAGAAGAATTGAAACAGCCTAACTGGTAAGATAGGCTGTAAAATGGGATGAGAAGCAATTTACCAAAAAAATGCAGAGAAAGCAAAATTGGAGGGGAAGGAGAGGTGTTGATCATCTCTGTCATTATGCGTGTGTGTGTAAGCTCAAATCAGTTTACAAGAAATCTCCATGTCATGGTCAGCTCGCTACGCAAACCCTGCTCTGTACTAGACATCAGCAATTTGGGGGTGGGGTGGGAGAAAGCATTGGAATGTGAGGTGGGTATTGAGTAGGGTACAGGAATGTAAGTGTTGGCTTGAAGCCTGAGACTGATCCAGCTCCCCAAGTTCATCAGCTGGGAAAAAGGCTGAGAGACCATTCCTAAAACAACATGAGTATAACCAATTGGCTGGACAATGGAGAGTGGGAGACCAGGGGAATGTTTTTCTATGCTATTTGTGTGTGAAAATGTTACAACTAGCTTTTCCCCTTCTATACTCACATGGAATTTTCAGTAAAGTTATACTCTTGGTAAAAAATGTCCTCTTTGCCATCTCAACCAGTGAGACTGTTGACCACCCCAAAAGTAACTCACATTCAGACCATGGCCATGATTAACTTTAGAAATGTAGCAGTGTCAACCATCATTTGGGATGATGTAGCTCAGGTCTTGCACCATGACAAGATGCTAGAAGTGGTAGTATGGCGTATATACCTTCAGACTGCCAGAGGGGATAATGCTCTCCCATCTAGATAACTATAAGAGGAAAATGGGTGCAGCAGGGAACACAATTCTGATCCAAGTTTTTTTTCCCCCCTTCCAAGTTCCATCTTGTAAGGGAACTTTTTAAAAAATGATTTCCCTCATCTTCAGGACTGTTGCCTTTTTTTTATCCTCAACTCATTGTATTTCATGGGTATAAATCAAAAGGAACCTGTAGTTTTTCTATTTTGCCCAACTTAATGGAAGCTTACAAATATAAAACAAAGGCATCTGAGTCCTCTATTAAATTCCATGAATGAGTGGCCAGAATCAAAAAAGAAAAGGTGATATGTGGGGCTCAAAAGATGTCCATGTAGCGCACGTTGGCATCTTCTTAGACCAAATGTATCTTTTCCTAAGATTGTGCAGCAGCTGTGCAAGCCCAGGGAAAAATACGGCTTCTTTAAGGAGTCATTGAGAGATCTAGTAGAAGTGCCCCGTTGCTGGGGATCCCCCTTTCTCCTTCAAATCCCGAATGGTTACTCAACCTTACAAGAGATGTTTGCTTAGAAGCATGTTTGGTGAGCTTTGTCATTCAAGAAGGCCATTGGGGGGGGGGGGTCAACATATTATAAGCTGGGAGATAAGATTTGGAACAGATTTTCCCTTGCAGAAGTTAAGCCAACAGAGATTTGCCTTTTCTCATCTTCAGCTTCTCAAAAAGATCAAGCGTTGTGACCGCAAGAGTACAGAATCCGTAACGGAAGAGAAATGTGCTGTCCTCTTCAGTACCAGCATCTGCCTTGGACCCAAACAAACCAACTTCCACCTACAGGTAGAAACACCATGTGGGGGCTGGTATTATTCTTATAATTGGCACTAGTGCCATTAGTTGGCACTAGAGATGTAATGTACTGCTGGCTTATTGCTTCCTTGAGAGAGAGAGAAACACACAAATAGGTTAGGCAAAGCCTCGAAAAGAACCAAACACCATTAGTGTCCTTCTCTGTCACTTCCCTCTTGAGCAGTTTGTCACCAGAGATACAAATAGGATGCAAATTTCTAGGTCTGGCAACAAGAAGGTTTTGTGGTGCACTTTTGGGAGGAATAATTGATCTGCTATGAGAAGAAACACTCACAAATGGGGCAGTATCAGGATTGGTTGACTATATGATGTTTTTTTTATCCATGCAAATTTCCTTCTCTTGCCCCAGGGTTCTTTCAGTAGAACTTGGCAACAATTCTGTTTCCAATAATGATGTCATTAATCATGTATTAAACCCGTTTCCAACAATAGACAGATAGCTGGTTGTCAGCCCAACTTCATTTTCTTACTTAAGTCTCTTTGGGTTTCTGGGCTTCACAGGATCTAATAGGATCTCTGTTTGTATTGTACCACCTTTCTCATCTTGTAATAAATTGAGCTTTATTACAAGTTCCTTAGGTCTGATTTGAATACCTTGCTTTTCTGAGAAGATCAGGAGCTTATGAAAGCTGAGATGAGTAGAGAAAGTTGGGAGAAATTGTCAATTTGGTGAGATCCTATCTTAAATTCTTTCGTTCAATTTGTTACAGTAGGGGAAGGCTTCGGGTAGTTGGCCTTCTCCTTCATGCAGTCACTTCTTGCCCTGCTGTGTACCCTAAAACTGGTTTAGACTGGCTTGAATCCTGCACAAAATCACTCCTGATAAGAGCTCAGGATAGTTCTATATAAGGTGATTTAAACTGATTCAATCAGCTTAGCTCTAAGCTGATCAATCAGAAACAAAAGACAGCAGTCCATTTTAAAGAAAACCATCAGTTGTTAACTGCAACTCTTTGTTCCCTCCTGCTTTTCTAGGCTCTGTCGCTTCCCATTGTGGTAATTGTGCATGGAAATCAGGACAACAATGCCAAAGCCACCATCTTATGGGACAACGCCTTTGCTGCTCCTGTAAGTGAAAAGTGCAGACTGCTAATCATTAAGGGAAGAATTTGATGTGGATATTTAATTGTCATAAAAGTGTGGATTCCCCCTCCCCCCCCACATTCCTTAGGAGAAGGATTTGAACCTATGAGCCTCCAGAAATCTAAGCCAGCCAAGGATGCTAGGAGCTGTTCAGCAACCTCAACCCAGAGATTCCCCATCTCCAACCTAGAGCCTCTCTATAATACCTACCATAGGAAAGGATCTGGTGGGGCAGTTAAATTCAGGGTTAAATTCTTATTCAGTCATGAAAATCACTGGATGAGTTTAGAACAGCAAAGACGGGGGGAAATCATGGACACTGCCAAAACTTCTCAAAGAAAAGTAAGATATGAACTAAAATTATTCCTGCCATTTGTATGTGGGGCCACATACAGTGGCTTCTCACTCTACCATTATGCCAGTTTCTGGAAAGGAAACTTTTGACATAAACTTTCTCTACGTGGCCCAATGGCGTTTCATATTTCAGGCTGAACAGGAAAACTAATCATAGTTCCATTGGTGTAAGCCAGTGGCACAGTGGTTAGAGTGCAGTACTGCAGGCTACTTCTGCTGACTGCTGGCTGCCTGCAATTTGGCAGTTCGAATCTCACCAGGCTCAAGGTTGACTCAGCCTTCAATCCTTCCGAGGTCAGTAAAATGAGAACCCNCTAATGACATTAATGTCAGCAGTGACATTTCCTCCAGTTTCATGGCCATTCATGACATATGATCCCCCTTCCCCCAGTTACCAATTGCAAGTCTGCTCATTGATCCATTAAAGCAAGATTTCACTGTACTTGCGAAAAGGTTTGTTTTATATATATGCAAGTAAGAATAAACCTAGCTGTCCATTTCAGAGAGCTCAAGCAGCTTCACATGCCTTCATCTTTTCTATCTTTCTAATTGAATATGCCTTTAATTGTTTATATCTTATACTGATAGATATGTTACAGCTAATAAATTATGAGTATTTTCTCTCCCAACATGTAAAAAATCCAACATCATGCATCTTCATCATTTGCTGAGATATGCGGAGGAACTCATAGTCCCAGTCTCATGAATATTTGTGTATATTAGTCATTGAACTTTTTTTTAGATCATTAGTCATTGATTTTTTTTGAGATATGCCTAATTAATAGTCCAAGTTTATGGCCTGTGACCAAAGATATTTTCTTGGAATATCTTCTTGGATTTACTAATGTTCATATTCTAATAATTAAACAATGTAGGCAGTGTGTAACTGGTAGCTTTTTATGACTTTCATGATCAGATAAAAACTCAGAGCAGAAAACCATTGGTTTGTATTTCACTTTTGTTCAAATACCTTGACAAAAAAGCAAACATTTGTTCTGCAATTATTTTTGACTTCATCATTTTCTTTGGCAGAACCAGCAAGGTGATTTATGATTAAAGCTGTTAACCTCTCTTCTACCTCCTCCTCCCCATTTTAAGGCACTGCCAGTTGCAGTTCTAACTATAAAGAGTACTTAGATCTATATACAGTTTCAGAGTGCTTTACAGCCCTCTCTAAGTGGTTTACAGAGTCAGCCTGTTGCCCCCAACAATCTGGGTTCTCATTTTACCCACCTCTGAAGGATGGAAGGCTGAGTCAACCTTGAGCCAAGTCAGGATCAAACTCTTGGCAGTAGGCAGAGTTAGGCTGCAATACTGCATTCTAACCACTGTATCACCAGGGTCCCTAAAGTAATTGAACTGTTTTTTTCTGTACTCTTGAAAATGATAAAGCTTAAGTTTTCCTCCTTGAGTATTTATTTATTTGTATTTATTTGTATCCCACCTTTATTTTTACAAATCATTCAAGGTGGTGAACATATCCAACACACTTANTTTTTTTTAAGTATAAAAAAGTACATTTGTTGACCAGATCGTTTGAGTCTGGATACCAGCCTATACTGATACTCATAGAATAAGAAACTGCAGCTAGTTTTTCCCCCCAGTTTCACAATCAGAGAGGTGCACTTTTTCCTTTCAACCATTACTACAATTCTCTAAGCCCTGCAGTGTTGATTATTGATTTTCTCCTCTGTTTTCCCCCCTCTATCTGTCTATTTTGTTCATGCAGATTGATCATGGGCTTTGTCAGCAAGCAGTATGTTTTCAATTACCTGAGCAATGCTCCAGCTGGGACTTTCCTGTTACGTTTCAGTGACTCTGAGATTGGTGGCATCAGCATCGCCTATGTTTCCTACTTCCCAGATGGTATGCCTTTGCATAGGAGAGCTCCATATTCACAGAGCTGAAAGCGGAGGAAAAATAGGTTTTTCTGTCTCTGATGGATAGGTGATCGTCAGTGAAACCTTTTTCACTTTTACTCTGAAGTCAGCATTGTTGAAACGGAGAATAATGTTATTATATTCATATGCCCCCCCCAACTGCAAGCAATTCTAGGCAATTTATAATTGTTAAAACATTTTTTTAAATGAAGAACAATACAAAAACCGCACAAGACAAACGAACAAGGATGTCAAAGAAAACAAACCCAGAAGGGAACAGAAAGGAAGAAAGGAGCTCTCCCAAGGCCTGGGCGAAGAGCCAGATCTTTAAGGGCCTTTGAAACACCAGCAGGGTGGAACCATTTAAATTCCAGGGGGAACTTCATTCCCGACTGTGGGCATACTTCCAGAATCCCAATAAGTGGCAATGTTTAATTGATATTAATTTGGCAGTGCATCAACCCTGACAAATTGGTTGAGCACTTACTATGGGAGAGAAGCAGTCCCTCAAATAACTAGGTCCTCTGCCATGTGGGGCATTACAGGTAGCAACCAGCATTTTGAATTTCACCCCAAAGCAAACTGGCAACCAGTGCAGCTCACAAAGCAGAGGTGTTACATAGGCATATTGTGGCAAATCCGTTGATTCAAAAGGGCAAGGAATCAGCTAATTACATTTCAGATCTCTGATAACCTCTGGTTGTAAGGTTGCTGGGAAGGATGGGTGTGGTTATTGGTGCAAAGCTGCATGGCTGGAGCTGGCTGTTGGTGAAACTCAGTACACCTGCATGAACATTCAACACTAGTCAAATTATCTACTCAGTATTGTTCTACTTCTCTAACAAGCAGCAGTATTTTTAGGGGTTCACGTGAAATCCTTCATGTTCCTATCATGGAGCAGTTTCTGCTTCCACCATTTTATAGTGGCTGTCTGAGTTTTCATGTGTATATATAATATATACTCCCAACAATTCCTCCTGGGATCTCTGTGCCTCACTGAAACACATGACTTGCAATTTGCCATCAAGCAGAACTCTCCGGCTAAGTTTGACCACAGCTGTGCATTCTCAGCAGAGTGAGGGTTTAAGTCTTACAGGAACACTGCGGTCTTGCTAGGAGCAACTCCAGCATCTGGCTTGTGTATCACAATTCTTGGAACCTAGTTGCTTGTTGACTAAACACAACCTCGTCTCTCCCTTGATTTGCTATTGTAAATTTGACTGGACCTTGGACTGCTCTACTTGGAAAGTTGCCTTGCCCAATTAAGTTCTTATCAATAACTAACTGCTGTTTCCTTGCTGTGGAGATTTGCAAAAGCAAGTCTTTCCCTTAACACACCAAGTGTCTGGCTTTTGAAAGGGTGCTAAAAAAAATGACAGGATGGGAATGCTGGACAGTTCCCCATGATTCACATGCCCACCGTTGCATGGCAGCAGAGGAGATCCAATCACTAGTCTACCACTTTGAAGATCGTGTGGCCTCTAATTGCTGCAGCAGGAAGGTTGGCATTGGAAGTAGGAAAGAACACATAGCTTTGTGGTGAGGAGCAGGAGTGCAGTCAGGTGTTGGTGCAAGTATATGACGTACCCCAGTTTTGGCAGCTGCCTGGGCATTGACCTCTTGCATTTTCAGCCAAAGCATTGCTTACTCAGGCAACTTCCAGGCTCACCTATTGAATTATTAGCCAGTCTGCCTGCCAGACTGTTGAACTTTAGTTCTTGCCCTGCAATGGAGATTGGATACATAAGATAATAGTGTGGCAGCTTCTAACTCCCTTGGGATTGGAGACTATCAAGGAGAAGAAGAAATGTATGTGTCGGGTGTAATGAGATAAGCTGGGAAACGTACAGCAGTCAGAAATGCACCGTGGCTATTGAGTACAGGAGGCAAAAACAGCTCAAGGATACTACTGACTGATAGCTAAGTTATTTGACTGCTGAGAGGTTGGTTACATCTGATGGGTTCTGATGAGAAAAGGATGGCAGATGATGTACAGAACATTCACAGTAACATCCAGGTCATAATGGGCAAGGCAATATATGATGGGAATCCAGGAGCAGGAGGTAAAATGACAGAAGAATCTCCTAGGAGAAAGGCAAAGTTGAATTATGAATCCAAATCAGGGATTACATCATAAGTGATAACAGTGGTAAAATGTTTTTTCTTCCTTTCATCAACCTTTTAAAAATGACCCATTCCCTGCTGGGGAAGAAAGGGTCACAAGAACATATTCAGGACTGCTGTGAGAAATACTTTAGGGATATGACAGATAAAGTTACTTGGATTCACTCAGAACTAGATTCCAACTGGGCAACTAGCGAATGAGATGATCTTGTCCTTTTGCCTGGAAAGTCTTTGCCCTTAAATACAGGATCATTGAGACTGTTAACATGGACATCTGATGTTTATTGTTATTCCTGGCTAGTGAAGTTTCTCTTGGGAATGATATGTGGTTGGGAAGACATGATAAATGAAACCTTATGGATGGTTCTGCCTGGCTTGAAGGAGTTAGGTGTGTCTCCTCCTCAATAAATTGTTAAACTTGATCTGGGCAATTTTTGGCCAGTCTCCAATCTCTATTTTCTAGGGAAGGTGACTGATAAGGTGACTGGTTATAGCTTGAGAGGGTCCCGGACAGTGGTGGATTCCTACCGGTTCAGCCGAATTGGTAGTGATTTGGCGGCCTGGGTCATTGGAACCAGCAGTGACCCAGGTCTGCCATACCCTGAACCGGTTCTCTGGGTGGCGCCATAGGCGCCACCATCTTGTTTTTCGCTTCTGCACATGCGCAGAACAATTTTTATTGTACTGTGCATGCACGCACATCAAGCGCATGCACACACAGTGTGTCCACGAGAAAACTGACTGTAGTGCCCTGGTCCTGGAGGAGATGGATCACGTGGCTAGGTATAGAATGGAGATATCACTGAACATATGTGTCGATGCTTTGTGGCAAAGCCAGCTGGGAGATGTTGCGACTGTCCTGATTTCCCCCAATACTCTTTGGATACCATCAACCATGATATCCTAGATTAATTGTAGGGATTTGAAATGGGGTGCATTGTGTTGTAGTGGTTTGCCTTTCTCTATAGCCTGTTCCAGATTGGAGTAGATGTGAAAGAGCGGTGGAGCCGAAGTTCCCTGATCTCAGCCCTCCAGTAAAATCTACATGAAACCATTCGTTGACGTGGTGGGTGGTACCATGAGTATGCTAATGACACCCGGTTAGTCATCTCGATCCCAAGTCAATTAAGCAATGCTGTTGCTGAGATCTAAAGGGAGGAACAGATCTATGCTTAATCCAATTTGCATGTTACCCAGACGTGGATAGTCATATAAATTTAAATAATCAATTATAATTTGAACTTGTAGAAGTCCCACCCAAAGGCCTGATATACAGAGAAGCCTAATTCAAGCAAATCCAATGCATCTAGAAAATGTGGGTGGCTGCTCTGGATCATAGGTATATATTTTGTGTGTGTGATGGGCTGACATTTTCATTTCTTTACGGGCTGTTTTCTCTTCCTTTGTCTCAGGTTCCACTCAGGTGGAGAACATCCAGCCATTCACAGCAAAGCAATTGTCCATTCGTTCACTAGCTGACTGTGTTCTGGATCTCCCACAGCTCCATATGCTTTTTCCTAACAGACCCAAACACGAGGCTTTCAGAAGAGACTACAACAGTGAGTGGTGGGGAGAAGGGCAGGGGAGGAGATACAGACCAAAGGAGGCTCAATTTTTTACAAGGGTGTCCTTCCCTAAGTGAGCTCTTCCTCTCCTGTTCCTGACAGGGGCAGAATTTAACATTTGATGGAATATATCTGGTTGAAAATCAAGTTGGGAGGCTTGATGGAAAAAATATGGCAGGCGTGGCTTTCAAAAACAAGATCCAAAATAATTCCATTATTTAAATTATTGATTCAAATTCTTTAAGCTTACTTACACCCAAAAGGAATTTTTTTTGCCAATAAACAGGAAAATGAGAAATGTAACATGATTAGAGCAGTATAAATTAAAAAATGACAAAGTAAAATGGCAAGGCATAAGATTTTTTTTCAATTAGATAAAGAAATTTGATTTATATTCAGAATTCCCAAGAAAACACCTGAAAAGGGAACAAAAATGGCACCAAGAATACTTCTCTAAGAAGTTATTCCCAAATTGTTTTGCCACTATAAAGAAGTGCCTCTGTTTTAGAGACTGTAAATCAATTTACTGTGCACATGGTTCTATAGCAAGAGGGCATTTCTGGTTAAATTTCCTTTTATGTGTTTCTCCCCCCCCCCCTTGACTTTATATTTGTTTAGATGGATATAGTAAAGTTAAGTTCGAAAAACAGAGGAGCAAAATTAAAGACAGGGAGAGAAAATATTTTATGTGTCCCACAATCAAAATAACTAGAAATGAATATGCTCATTGTGTAATGCTAGTCTTAGCTGAATAAAATTATCAAAATATAGTAGGAAATGTGTATTTTGACAGAACATGTATTATAATTCCGCCTGCCAGCACACATTTTAATTAAGGTTCTTATAGATCACAAAATAATGTGAAAGTGGAGCTTAGAATAAACACATATAAAATGGCATAGACCTGATCGGGGTTGATTTGCTCTGGGAGTTCTCACACATGAACATTCATATTTCAAGTGACATGACGCAGAATCAAACAAAAGGTGTGTCTGCAGAGCTTTTGCTGTACGTTAGTCAGAAAATACGAAGAGGCTCATTTCTATTGATGAACTTAATACTTTTTTTAAATGACTCAGAACCTGTTTGGAGATTCTAAAGATAAGGCCGAGCAAGTTACAGGATAAACTCCATCTAGTATTTGGATGGCAGCTCATAAGTGGAATTTCTGCCTGGACCAATTCCAGCATCCTTCTCTGAGAATTTCTAAGTCATTGAATGCATCAAACCCCAAACAACTGACTCATCCCTATTTAGGACTCTACCATTCCATAGTTGATAAACTTGAAGATATCAGGCTGAGAACTGCTGCTATAGAGGGAAGCAACTTCTGCTTTAGGGCTTCCTCTTGTTACAAAACTTCCTTGAAATTACTTTCTGTACAAAAAAATATGAACCGATTTGTGTGTTGAGAAGCTAAAATGTGGTTATGTTTCTCCCCACAGCAGAGACACGAAAAAACACCAGCAGTTACGTCCCAGCCACGATAAAGATAACTGTAGACTCGTGAGTGTGTGAATTCTCCAACTTTTTTCCTCTTCTCTTAACATTTCATGGGATTGGGTACAAATATGTTGACCATCTTTTCCTAATTAACCTTTCCAATAGTAGACAGGAAATTCAGACCTATCTTAATGAAGGAAGGTCTGAAAAGCACTTTGGTCAGATGGCACTTTCTTTCACTTATGTCCCCTTTGTCCTTAGAGCTTAGAACATAAAATAACAAGGTTGGAAGGGACCTTGGAGGTCTTATAGTCCAAGCCCCTGCTCAAGTAGGAGATCCTATACCATTCTGGATAAATGGTTGTCCAATCTCTTCTTGAAAACCTCCAGGGATGGAGCACCCACAACTTTTGGAGGCAAGCTGTTCTGATTAATTGTTCTTGCTGTCATGAAATTTCTTCTTAGTTCTAGATTGGATCCCTCTTTAATGATCTTCCACCCATTATTTCTTGTCCCGCTTTGGAGAACAAATCGACCTTCCCCCTCTATGTGGCAGCCCCTCAAATATTGGAAGACTGTTATCATGTTGCCCCTAGTCCTTCTTTTCACCAGACTAGATATATCTAGTTCTCTCAACTGTTCATCGTACAATTTAGCCTCAAGACCCCTTATCATCATTTGCTTTTCTTTGTATTTTTTTCTAAGGTCCCAGCATTTTTTTTGTGTGTATCATGTTCTTCCATTACTATCTTACTGGATTTCCAGTTTGGGCTGTTTCTCTCTCCCTCCCTCCCTTCTTGTTATGGGGAAAGGAGTCCAACATAACATCATCAGACTGTTGAAGGAAACTAATGGATAGTATCTGGGTGGGGTTTTATTATACGCCATCCAGGGTCACATTCATGAGATGGACAACTATATATTGTAATTTAGATGGATTTAGGTTTAGGTGATTTAGATTTAGATTTCACCTTCTCCATCAGCCTTGATTTTATCCTATTGGTATCATTTTGAACAAGGCAAGTGAAAGCACTCTTTAAGATTAGATATGCCTCTTAGATCAGTATCTGTGAAAGTGCCAAAAGTTAACAAATGGATGTTCACACAAGTTGTGTTCAATTCTAGACCCTGCTTATTCCCTACATCAATTCAGAAACCAGTTGACACTCTGGGCAGCTCTAATGTGAATCTTGCAGTCCATTCTGATTCAACTTATCATGAGTAAGAACTTACTGATTGATTGCAGAGAATCCTACCATTGTGTGTCTATTATATAATGAATGTCTACGAAGGAGTACCAAGAGGAACTACCTTCTCATTGCCCCTATTTTTTATCCCCCAATCCTTCAAAAGTCCCTGTTTCACTGATTGGTTTAACTCTTTTAACATTGAAGGAGAATGCTGTGGAAGCCCAAGCTTGAGCTATTACTGGGCCTGGAAAATGAGAAGAAGGGAAGAGAATAAATTGCTATTTGTCTTCCAATCAAATGTATATTATTAATTTGTCTGGTGTACATGTATCTGATTATATTGGGTGTGGGAGGGAGGAAGATAAGAAAAGAAAACAGAACTTTTGTTCTGAAGAGAAGCTGCAATCTCAGGGAAAAGGTTGAGGGCAAGATTTCTCACCAATAGAAAATGATCCACCTACAAGTTCTGTAAAGCTGCTGTCTTCCAATGGAAAAGAACAATTTCATTTACTCTGATGTGAAACCATAAGGAAAAAAGGATTTAGCTTCCAGTAGCGGCAGTACGGTAGGACCATGGCCAGAGCAGTTTCTGGACTTTTACTAAGAGATACAGAGAAAAAAGAACATAAAATGCAGCTATTTATAAAATGCTTCGAAGTAGGATTGATGTAAGCATCATCTTCCCTTTGATTTTATGAAAGAAGATGTGAAAGTACTGTGCTAGGTTTCTTTTTTTGTAGTGTTGATGTGTATCCTTGGTATGGTTTTGCTCAGAAGCAAAAAATGCTGATTAATTCAGTCTATGGGTAAACAGTAAGAAAGATGACCTTGACAGAAATACACAGGAACCATTACTTAGGCAAAAGTGACTGAAACATTATTTTATACCCAGAACAACTAAATCAGTGGTGAGATTCAATTTTTTTTTTACTACCGGTTCTGTGGGTGTGGCTTGGTAGGCGTGGCATGGCTTGGTGGGCTTGGTGGGCTAGGGAAGGAACTATAAAATCTCCATTCCCTCCCCACTCCAGGAGAAGGTTACTGCCAAATCCCCATTCCCTCCCAATCAGCTGGGAGGCA